GTAAATATTATTTAATAAAAATTGAATAAAAAATTATATTTAATAAATAATAATTAAAAATTAAATAAATTAATAAAATAGGTTTGAAATTTTTTTAATTATTTAGTAATAGTAAAAATTTTCTGATTATTTTGCAATATTGCGAAATTTTTTTAATTATTTTGTATTATTGTAAAAATTTTTTAATTGTTTCACATTATTGCAAAAATTTTCTAATTATTTTGCATTATTTCAAAAATTTGCTAATAATTTCACAATATTGCGAAATTTTTTCAATTATTTTGCAATATTGCAAAATTTTTTTGATTATTTCGCAATATTGTAAAACTTTTTTATTTTAAAAGAATTTCATGTCAATTGCAGTTATTTTGAAAGATTTTCAGTATGCAAAATCTTTCACAATATTTCATTTATATTTTTTGCTGATGTAGCACCCATTTTAGATAATTTACTCTTTTGATTTTGTTATCTCCTAGTAGATTGTATGCTAGAATATTTGCTCTAAATAAGTTTTTGTGATTACATGCTCTATTTTGAGTGACCACAAGCTATCTTCCAATGGTATTACTGTAATTTGATTTTCTAAAGCTCTAATGCTTTCTTTTTCTTTTTTTTTTTTTGTTCCTGGATTTCTTTTTAAGCTTCTTTTTCATACATTCTTTTACTGTCATCAAGTATATCTTCTAGAGGAATTTCTTGATCTTCTTTGAACTTCTTGTCCTTGAGCTTTGTTTTATTTGTATTTTTTTTTTTAAATGTTTTAGAGAAAGCTGTTATTAGTATTTGGTTTGTTATTTCCCTATCTGACTGGTTTTCTTCTTCTATGTGCATGTTGTTCTTTATTAGTTCAGCTGATTTGCAAGGTCTTGCATCTTTAGCTTGATTCTCTTCTTCTTATTGCCATTTTTTTGTAACTATCTTTTGAGGTCTTTCTACTTTGCTTTTTTTCTCTATATCTTCCATCTTGTTTGTTTCTTTTTGAATTTGTTCATTATTTATATTTGTTATGTAGTTTACTGTTTCTGGATTTTCATAAGTCATTCTGGCTTTAGTTGTCCATTCTTTTATCAGGATGTCATTTGGAATTCTACCCTCTCTTTGTCTTAGTAAACTTAGTATTTGTCTATAAATTAATAAATCCATTGCTATAATCTTGTCAGGATCTACTATTGCTAAACTTTTAGTTACATGCTCACTATTATCTGAAACATAAGACATTGTTGCTTTTAGTTCTTCTGTTAATATTTCACTGTTCATAAACCTTAAATTTCTGGCACCTAGTCTACTGATGTAATATAATATCTCTTAATTGTGTAACTCTTTCATCTTATCTATTGTAACTAATATGATTGGCTCTTGTTTGTTTAATACTTATTCTAAGCCTG